CGCCCTTATTAACTAGTGCTCAAAGGTCCTAGCGTATAGCAACTGACAGGAGAGGGGTATTGAAGGGCATTTCAAGGTGGGGGCAGGATGACATCAAACTCTCGCTTGCCGGAGATATGATATCTATAGCATAGAAACCCCTGGACTCTTCAAGAGACTCTAACTGATAACTGGATTTGGTAGAGTGTCGCTGTTATTAAAATCAATATACACAATCAGAAGCATTCATATGATTGCCAAGAACTACAAACAAAAACTCAAATAAAAACGGCAATAGCCAAAGAAAATTAAATAGTCTAGGAGTATTCGTTAACGAAGATATAAAGATACATAAGGAGAACTATGAAAACACTAAAATGGAGTGCAGAGATTAGAACGAGGGATCTGAAAATACTTGCTTCAGGATTGTAGAATCAATATAGTTAAAATGTCAATCATTACCTACAGTGTCGTACAGAATACAATGCAATCCCATGTAAAATACCATCAGATTCTTTACATCTAGAAAAATAATTCTTCACTTCGTATGGAATCAGAAAAAACCTCCTATAACAAAGCACATCTAAAATAGAAAGGACAAACTGGGGAGGCATCAGTCTTCCTGACTTCAAACATGTAGACTATAAAGCAATAATAGGTTAATCAGCCTGGTGCGTGGCACAAGAACAGAAGCATAGATAGATATCTGGAATAGATCTGAGGATACCAGAGATGAAACCATCAGTATACGGCAATCTAATCTTTGATAAAGCTGAAAAAATATACATTGGGGAAAAGAATCTTCTCTTCAACATATGGTGCTGGGAAACTGGTTAGCTACATGCAGAAGAGCAAATCAGGACCCCTACCTCCACCTCTCACAAAAAACTTCATCAGATGGATAACAGACTTAAACTTAGACATTGAAACGCTTAAGAATCCTAGAGGAAGATGTTGGGAAACACCTATCAACATTGGCCGTAGGCAAAAGAATTTTGAGGAAGACCCCCAAGGGCATCACCACAGCATCAAAATAAACAAATGGGATCTGATCAAATTAAAAAGTTTCTGTACAGCCAAGGAAACCATCAATAGAGCAAATAGGACAACTACAGAGTGGGAGAAAATATTTTTGCTCTCTACACCTCTGATAAAGGGTATAACAAGAATATCTAGAGCTTAAAAAATTAACAAGAAAAATCAAACAATCCATCAAGAATGGGCGACAGAAATGAAAAGAAACTTCTCCAAAGAAGACAGGAATAATGGCATGCAAACATATAAAGAAATGCTAAACTCTCTATTATTAGAGAAATGCAAATCAAAACCACAATGAGATACCACCCAACCCCAGTAAGAATGGCTATATCAAGAAATCCCAAACAACAAATGCTGGCGAGGATGCAGAGAGACAGAACACTCCTACACTGGCTGGTGACTGCAAATTAGTTCAACCTTTGTGGAAAAGAATTTGGAGTACCTCAAACAGCTAGAAATAGAAATTACCATTGACCCTGCAATAGCATTGTTGGGCATACTACCCAAAAGAGCATAAGACATTCTATTATAAAGACATCTGCACACGAATGTTTATTGCAGCACAATTCACTATTGCACGATCATGGAAGCAGCCCAGGTGCCCATCAATTCATGAGTGGATAATTAAAATGTGGTATATGCTCACAATGGAATATTACTCAATCCTAAGAAATGACAGTGAGCTAGCTCCATTTATGCTATCCTAGATTAAACTTAAGCCTTTTATCCAAAGTGAGGCAACACAAGACTTGGAAAATGGGCTCCACATCTACTCACTATCAAATTGGTACTGATTGATTTAAACTTCGATTTTCAAATGGTGGCAATACCTACCAGAGATTCGGTGGTGGGGGGGGGACCCAATCTTAGGGATGGGACGAGCATTCTGGAGGGGGAGGGCATAACTCTAACCCTTCTTAGGGAGAGGCAAAGATATATAATGTAACCAAAATGTTAAACAAAACAAACAAAAACTTTCTAGCAGGTGGTGGGCAGGCAGGAGTGGGGAGGAGGAAAGGGATGTATGCTTCCATAATGTGTACGATGCACACCACCGGGGGATTGGACATTTCGGGGGGAGGGAGGGGGCAAGAGCAATATTTGTAACCCTAACAATATTTGTCCTCCATAATATGATGAAATAAAAATCATGTTCTAATAAAAAAAAGAAAAGAAAATAGAAAAAGGAAGAATTCTAACACTCTTATGATCAAAGGTAGAAGGAATCTTTAATTCATTCAACACATACTGAAAATGCATTCATGTCCTAGGCACAGTGCTAGGGATTGGGGGATACATGGATCACGCATGTGCACAAGGGCGCCATCCTCTCAAAGTGTCCATTCTCAACGAGGTGTGGCTATCTCTGGAAATACTCTGAGGTGCCAGAATTGCTCTAGATGCATTGAATACTTGGTGGGTGTTGGTAGGGTGGGGTGTTGGAGGTCAAAGAGTTAAGTACCTAGGCACCCTCTCCTCAGAGTGGCATAGATTAGGTAAGAGAGAGACAGCCACAGTAACAAGTCTTGAATGGAGTGGCATGAACATCAAAGAAGCAGGAAAACAGGGACTCCCACTCCGCCCAGTTTTCCCAATTCTGAGAACTGTGGAAATAGCTCAGGAGACTGTCTGGTCATGTGATCTCTAAGTCGCAGGGATCTCATTGGCCAAGGCTCCAAGAGGGTGGGGAAAGTGGGAGGTGGGGACCAATGGACAGGCCGACCGAATAGTAGAAGCCCCGCCTCCCACGCCTGCGCAGTTCCCTCCGGCCTAACCGTGAGAAGAGTACTCCGGGTCGCAGGGCACCAGGTAGGGACTCGCTGACCAGCCCTGGCTGCCTTGCCTGCCCCACCTTCCCTGGGGACGTGGCTGCCTCTCAAGCTGCTCCCACACACCCACAACGCCCTGCGGAAAGGAGTGGCTGGGCCAGAAGCTCTCTCGGCCCACGAAACCAGGCTGTGTTTCCTGGTCCAGGTGCCTCCAGAGGCCAAGTGCGCAGCCCGGCCGGCGTCTGAGGGCGGGGAAGGCTGCTCATGCGGGAGGGCGAGCCTGGACGCGCACCTCTCGCCGCCTTAGCTGACTGGCTCCGCTCTTCCGCAGACAGGGCACCATCCCAGCCTCAGCCATGCGCCCCACGGCGCCGAACAGCCTCCTGCTGGCCTGCAGCCTTGCTGTCGTTCCCTTCTTCGTAGGTGAGAGTGAGACACGGGGTCCTCCCGCGTTCCCACCTTCCAGCGTCATTCCCACCTACACTTCTGCATTCCCGAATCCTTGCCCGAATTTCACCCATATTACTGAATTCTCGCCTTCTCACTCTACCCCATTCCATGCTGTATTCCTGCAGTTCCGCCCTCATTCTCCTGTTCCCAACCCCAGGCACCCTGTATTCCCAGCAGTAGCCCTCCTTGCATTCCATATACTTGCAACGTCAACTACCCTTGCTGGGCACTGCGCTCAGCAGGCACCGGCAGGGAATGAGCAGACGTTGTTCCTGTCCCCATAACGCTTACAGTCTACTGGCCAGTGCTGGGGACCAAGTCCTGAGCGTCATCTCCACATCAAATACTTACTGGCCCTGGCCTGGGGAAAGCAGCTGAGCCCATTTGTGCCTCTGCATCCTTATTAGAGAACTAGGAATATTGGTTCCTTCCTCTTGGCGTTGTGAGAAATAAGTGAGCTGGTGAAAGGTTGACACAGTGCCTGACACTTAATAATCTCTTATTGAGAGGTAGCTTTTCGTTTGTTTTTCTCCAGAGACCACTGGAAGAACGACGGAGGATAAAAATGCTCACCAGTGAACCATGAATCATGGGCCCTTGTCCAAGTCGTTCTACTTCTTCCCAGAATTCCCTGAGGGTTAAAGGGGACTGTAGGACAGCCTCTAACTACCTGTGGTTGTTCACCAGATGCAGAATGTTCTGGATCTGCTTATGGAGAGGAGTCATTCAGTCATTGCTTCAAAATCCTTTTACTGTTTCCCCCATTGTTGCCAGGGACTCTAGGGGTCGCCTCCCAAGTCAGCCTCCCTGATCACCCAGACAGTCCATTAATTCAGTGTCCAGGGGCTACAACTGTCCAAACTCACCCCCTGGCACCTTTCCTTTTTCTCCCAGCCTCTCAAGTTCCCATCTTTCCTTTGACAGGAAAACAAAGGGCAGACTGGAAATAGACTTGCCAGCTACCCTTTCCCCCTGCCCCATAGTGGTGGATTGGTATGACTAAGAAACTGAATTTTTAATTATATTTATTTTAATTAATTTAAATAGATGCATTTGACAAGGTAGCTTCAGAGTGGAGTGGAGTGTGAAAAAGTTTGGAAAGAGAAAGGGGGATATAGGACATTTTGCTGAGAAATTATGAATTGGAAAGTCTCTTTAATGTTAATTATGGGAGTTTTTGTTGTCATGCTTTTTTATTACATTTTTAAATTACTTATTTAAGTATTAAGTATTTTAAGTTTTTTTAAATTACTTTTGGCTCTCTGGGGTTTTTAATTCTTTTGGACTGTGTTTCATCAAACAAGACTCTCTAGGGAGAGCAGGCCAGGTTAGCCCTGGATTTCTAATGGTTGTAGTGCCTGGAGAGCCATCTGGCCATCTCTAGACTTTGCTTGTCCATCTCTTGATGACAGCACATGGCTCCCAGTCCCCAGCATTGCCCCGTGGCCCCTGCTCCTGTCTAGGGGGGAGGGCAGCTAACCTCCCATTTGCACGGCCCATGGGGACATGGCACAATATTTAAAAGGAATATATCAAGATTAAAAAAATGTTAAAACATTTTTCATCCTCTTACCTGTACAAATATACCTTCAGATGACCTAAAAGGCTTGGAATTTTCACACTCCTCACAGTTTCATGCCAGAGAATGGCAGCATTGAGAGACCCTGATCCTGTCCCCAGACCATCTCCTTTCCCCACTCTACCTTCCCCTTCCCTATGAAGGGCATTATGATTATGTGTGTGGACATACAAGTCCAGAGGTCCAAGATCCCCACTCCTGCCACCTCTGAGAACTGCTCGGTTACCCCCTCAGTCAGTTTGAGCAACAAATTCCAGGATTCTTGGTAGCCAGGCAAGATGGGGAGAGGGTGTATGGTTTTGGGTGGACATGTATCCTCAGTGTCACATCTTACTTACCTTATGTGGGGCAGTGGAGTCAAAGAAGAGTGAGGGGAGGTCCTCCCCAAGCCCTGGTTCTGGGGAGGTAAACAAATTGAAACTACCTTTTGGTAGCCCCAGAAGAATTCTGTAGATGCATACCGTCGCTTTTATTCCATTTTCCCCCTTGTCTTTAACTTTCCACAGGTTTCTACTTATCCATTAATAGCTCCCTCCAGGAACTCCCTCCTTCTCTGCCCCAGGACATCTTTCACTGCAGCAGCCAAGCCCAGTCTTTGCCCGTGACCATAGGTGACAGTGGGGACACTTGAATGGGGGCAGGAGTCAGTCAATTTAGTTCACTAAGACATTGTTAGCCTCAGAGGCAGAGAGTATGGGAGGGGCTAAGGTTCCTTCTTGTCAGCTGGGGCCCCTTCTTTGAGCATCCTGTGTGCCATCTCTTGTGACCTTTACTTGTAAGACCAAAATATTCTGTGCAAGTGCTTGAAAGTAGACCTATTTTTGGCTTCCACTCAGAAATGTCATCTTTTCAGTGAGGCCTGCCCTGACAACCCTACTCTGTACTTCATATCCTGTTTTGTTTCTCTTTGTAGTATTTATCATCATCTGACATACTGTATCTTTCTCTCCTTTGTTAATATCTGCTTCCCCCATCAGAAAGTAAGCTCCTTAAGGGCAGGTATTTTTGTGGTAACTCCAACATTATTGGATAACTTCAGAAGTGTCACCTGGGGAATGCAGCTGTGAGGATCAGGGAGGAGGATGGAGTAGGTCTAGGGGCTGTTCTATGAATGCTGGGTACATTGGCCTACCAGTGGCAAATAGCCAGCCAGTTTTTCTGTCTTTTTTTTTTCCTAACAGTCTCCTGGGAGATTAAAATGAGTGACTTAGAGGAGAAAGATGTTGATGAATTCAGCTCCAGTGGTTTTAAGTGCCCAACCTGCTTTGCAGTGCAGGGAAGAAAATGTGATACACAACTCAAATGGTGTGCAGCAGATAAAATAAACTGTGTTGAATTCTCTGGCATCATAAGCACAGGTACTTTTCTAGGATGCAATATTCTGTAGACACAGAACAACTGGTACTCTTTCACAAGCTTATGGGACATGTGTTCCAAGAGTGGAGTTGAAGAAACCAGCTTTTGTCCAAATCTCTTAGAAATGGGGACCTAGGAGTATCCTGAATCTGCAAATATGTCCAATTGGCTTTCTCACATTCATTTATGAATTGATACACACACTTACTGAAGACTCTCTGCTACCTTTGAGGAAGTTGATTCAACATATTAGATGAATCCTCATCCTCTGTAAACTTTGATTAGTGTTTTTTAAAACACAGGGACAATTGGTGCTTTTTTTTTTTTCTTTCTGGGTTTTTTAATTTTCAAAGTAAAAGCTTTGGAGAGAGGCAATGACTAAGCTTAAACTTTCTTCAAAGGGATCGTAAAGCATACTTTACTATGTTTGCATTGAGAAAATCCAATACAAAATTCTAAATTAATTGAAGACATTTAAATTAAGAAGAGCAGTGGGCTAAGTCCCATGAAGATTGAGTTGTGTCCATAGCTCTTCTTTACCTCCTGCTGACTCTGAGGAGCTCTTCCTTCCTGAAAATTCATCATCAGTGAGGTAATTATAGAGATTAGCCATGTTAGTTGGTCTCTTGGATTCTTATGTTTTTACTTTCCATAATTTGAATAACAGAATGATTCTTTCCTTTAAAATAGCAATTACTAGATTGTTATTAGCACCCAGAGGAGGTGAGATGAGGTCATCAAGAGCATAGAGTGTGTGCCATGTGAAAGGGTGTATCTGAAGACACTTTGAAAGGCAGGGAACACAATCAAAATGGTAGCTTTTCTAAGGCTATTGTTATTTCTTAAAAGATGACTCATGGCCCAGCACAGTGGCTAATGCCTGTAATCTTAGCACTCTGGAAGGCTAGTTGGGAGGATTTCTTGAGGCCAGGAGTTTGAAACCAGTCTGAGTGAGAGGGAGACGTTGTCTCTACAAAAAATACAAAATTAGCCTGCTGTGGTGGTACACACCTGTAGTCCCAGATACTTGGGAGGCTGAGGCAGGAGGATCACTTGAGCCCTGGAGTTTGAAGTTGCAGTGAGCTATGATGATGCCACTGCACTCTAGCCCAGGGGACAAAGCAAGACACTGCCTCAAAAAAATAAATAAATAAAGATAACTCAAACCAAGAATAAGGGATTAGATTTATGTAGTTGAATTCACATTAAATTCACAAAACGTGTACATAAATGAAACACAGAGATACCAGTTTCCTGAGTATCAGTAGCATATAAGATGTTCCTAACAAAGCCATTAGGACTAAAATGTCTATAAAAGTATAAGGTAGATCTTCAAGTCATAATATGGGTCAGAAAAAAAGCTCACTTAAATAATACCAATTTGGATTGATGTAGGTTTTGAGGGGATTTAAGGATTTGGAGGCCCTGTGTTTGGAGGACACCATTCCAGCCCATTGCCTCTGCTAGAGAGGCATGTTGGGTGATGCACAAGAGTGTGGCCTGATGTATGTCCTCCTCCAGCCCAGTCTGGATGAGTAAAAGGAGGTATATAAATGAGGAGAGTGGAAGTCTCATGTGTGGTTTCTTGCAGGTGTTCGTGACGTAGCTATTGAAATGAAGAAATGCATAGAAGCACACCTATGCAAAGAGGTGATAACTTCTTATATGGGTTTTCCAATTGCTAACGAGAGTAGAAATTGCAAATCAGCCATAAGAAATGGGGCCAGAGTGAGACCCCCAACTCCCATCTTCTTTGTTCTCCTCCTGGGGAGGCTACTTCATTAAGCTCCTGCAAGAGCCCAGCCACCTCCATTTATGAATTAAACATGCATTTTTGTTTATGTATTCTTTCGCGACTATTAATTTATCCATTCACTTGTCTACTTAGTTATTCATTCAGCAGGGTGTATTTGTTGTGTACCCAGCCTCACACAAAGCGGGTCAGGGCCAAAGTCAATCAGCATTGGGTCCTTGCCTTTAAGGTTCCAAAGCATTTAGAGAATGAGGACGTGAACAGATGAAATGCTTAGAAAGCAACATAATGAGTATGATAAGAGCTGTAGAGCTCTGCTCAAGTAGCCCCTGATGATTGGTTTGGACTCAGGGCAGAAGTGAGAGATTGGATTTGATTAGGGAAGGTTAAGGTTATAGATGAACTTTTAGGAGATCTGAACTACATGACAGCAGAGATAGTGTAGAGATGGGACAGTAGGCAGAGGCTAAGGTGCAGTACCTGAAGTTAACAGTGGAAGGAGTCTGGATGAGGAGAGTATCAAGAAATATATGAGTCTTGCTGGAAGCATCTTTCTGTGAGTGATGGAAGGTGCCACACATGGGTGAACACAATGGACTCACTGAGCTGAGTACAGGCCTGCTCTGTGGCAGAAAACATTGACTTCATTCCACTTGAGATAAGATACGAAAGGTGTCTGGTTTTCACCCCTGACTGCTCATCAGAATCACCTGTGACCTTTAAATAAGAATGTTTATCCCAGGTCTACTGCCAGAGATTGAGATTTAATTGATCTGGGTTAAACCTTGGACATTCTTGTCCATTGTTTTGTTTTAATTCTCCCCCCATCCTGCTGGAGTGATTTTAATTTTTATCCACTATTTTTTTAAAAAATAACTAAACTATGATTAAAAAACCAAAACTGTCACTTTGCATAAAGTGAAAGACCTCCAGTCAAGCCAAACAACAATTGCATATAGAACAGAAGAATTTTCGAATGATATTAAATATTGACTGATACAAAGTTTGAAAAATTACAAGTACTCTTGTTTAGCTGTAGTCATACAGTATAGGAACACTGACCAAATTAATATGTTTTTTCTCAAAGGACTTAAAAATTAATGAAGAAATGTCAATTCATGACCAAAAAAAATCAAACTCATGGCATAAATACATTTTAATCTCTTACATCTCTCAAAGAAAAGCTTCACCTAAATGGGATTAAATTTGTTTCTATCATGACAAATGGTACTCCAGCTATAATAGGTCAAATATTAGGATTTATTGAAATTTTAAAAGGAGAGAAATGTTTTTCTTATAGCTTCATTCTGCTGAAAATTTTGGTTCTCAATTCTCTTAAGTAGAGTCTATGAAAAATGTCATGGATAGAGTTTATTAAATCATTTGGTTTATATGTACAAGTGTCATAAATCATCATCAGTTTGTGGAATCATTAAATGAAATAGAAGATAGTGAATTTAATGATGTTTTGGTTTTTGCCAATGCTTATCGGATGAACCATAGAAGATTTTTACAAGTATTTCCTATACTGCTAACTCCAATTCAAGATTTTCTTCAAACAAAAGGAATACTTGCCAAACATTTAATAGTCAAAGACCAAAATGGGCCATGCAATTCACATTTTCTCATTGATATTATACTTTATATACACATGAGCTAAATTTTAACCTTCAGATGAAAGCTGATTTGTGATCTTGCTAAATAGATAAAATTTATATTGAAATTGAAATTTTTATGAAACAAATCAATAATTATTTTTGCATACTTTTAACATGAATCACATGTAGCAGATTTTCATTGTCATCAACAGTGTTCTGTAAACTGGCTGTAAAAACTACAAAAACATTACAATACTTTGTCGATATTGATAAATTTAGACTTTTCAGTTTTTGCAATAGCCCTTTCACTATGATGTTAAGAATACTGAGAGAATATAAGAGTTAGTGAAATTACTTAATTTGGATGAATTTATTTTTAAACTCGATATTCTTTTGCTTTAAAGTCAAATCAAGACAGTGTCATCACCAAGATGGCAGAGTAGTAGATACCAGCCTTCATTTCTTCTCCTTCCACCCCAAATCATGGCTATCCACAGTCAAAATAGGCCTCAGTAATGTTAAAAGCCAATTAAAGAATCTGCAGTAGCACAGTAGAGCAAAAAAAATGGAGACTACCCACACAGAAAGGATCAGTGGTGAGACTGGCATACCTCAGATGCCAGGAGACGGCTAGGAATGGAGAAGGAAAGGTTAAGACTATCAGGATCAGCCCCGTGACAGGAACCACTGGGATGGATCCTCAGCAGCGTGCTCCTCAGAGGACACTGGTATCTTGTGCCACTGAAGTAATCAACAACCATTCCAGAACACTGGGGAATCCCAGACAGGGAGATGCAGCTAAACCCTCCCCACAAACAGCAGCTGCTGTTGAGCCACTTCAGGAAAGGAGCTGCCACCTCTCTCAATCCCATACATGCCCTGAACTGCAAGCTGCAGCTGCCCCGCGAGTGCCCACACTCCAGACCTGTGCTTTGTGGCTCCACTGTGCCCGCCTGCATCCCAGATGCTGGAGCCATCACCACGATGAGCGAATGTGCACTCCAGTATCTAGAGCCAAGATCTCTCTGAGCCAGCCTGTGCTCCCAGCACCAGCTCGGTCACCACAGGGAGCTAGGCCTCATCCCAACTCAGCGTGTGTCTGTGCTGCTGGGCCGTGTTGACCAATACCAAACCCTAACCACCCTGAACTCGGAAGTTACCGGCAAGTTGCTGGCACAGGACCTCCTGAAGGTGAATGAATTACTAAGCCGAATGCCTTACAAACTGCTCTTACCTTTCTTTGATAACAGCTTATAATTAGCCTTTGTGGCCTGACCACAAGAGAAGGCTGGTCACATACAGCTGTTTCCTAACGGGATTTTTAAACATGTAAAAATGTTACCATTGCTCCATTAAGGGTCCCCTTCCCACTTGAGAGGGGACCCCTACTCTGTGGAGTAGGATCAGTTGTCTGTGTTCATCTCAATAAACCTCTTGTTGCTAGTTGGCTTGCTCCTGAATTTTACCATGTAAAGCCAAGAACCCACTTGGCAAAGTTCACGGGGCTTTCCTACCTTCATTGGGACACCCCCTACATAAATATGGACTGCCTGAAAAAGAGTTTAGAATAATTCTTTTAAGAAAGCTCACCAAATTTCATCAAAATAAAGAGAAACAGTTCAATGAAATCAGGAATACAATAAATGAACAAAATTAGAAATTTAACAGAGATTGAAATTATAAAAAATACATTTGGAACTAATATTAAATAGTAAGCCCTCAACGAATGTTAAGAATTTTTATCATTATTGAAATTCAATCCCTTCTCAGGAGAAAAAGAAGAAATTTATTCTTACCCATTGATAAGCAGAGTACTGCAAGGAACCATGTGTCAACTCTGGACATACGGCAACTGAAAACAATATGCAAATACTTGGAAGTTCTATGTCCAAAATGTGTGCATATTCCTTGCTGTATAGTGTTCCATTAAAGAATAAGAGCAGTTATCCTTCACAGTTCCAGAGTAGGTAAGAGGGTTGGGATTAAGATATCACCACAGATATGCGTTTTCTGCTTTGGAAAAACCAGCTTCTTCCATCACAGTGATGGAAGAAGCTTGGCTAAAAGAATGTTCCCCTTTTCATCTGGCTCAGAGGCCAAGTAAAATAAATTTCTTTGTATTCCCCTGACCTATTCAAGCAAGCAGAAATCCCCCACGTTCAGGCAAAGGGCCAAAAAAATTCATGAGTTTCAGGGTATTGCTTGAGACCACTTTTCTTAGATGGCCAAGGGCAAGGGAACTCTTTCAGCTGGTGTCTGCTCATGGATCTCTGCTCCTCCCATGCAGTGAACATGTGTTAGTCAGGGAAAGCTGACAGGTATAGCCCAAACCCTTCTTATTTCAGTGGGCTAACACAGCAAGAGTTTCTTTGTTGTCCACACCAGGGTCCACATTGGGCATTCCTGGTTGAGACAACTATTTGGGGTGGATCTCCTCTGAGGAGCAACTTCTTGAGTACTGAGATTCAGCCCTCCTCTGGCACACGAAGTGCACCCCACACAGTCACCGGATGCAGACGCAGCACAACAGGTCATGCCTGAAAGGGCTCCGTGGGCTGGGCCTGGACAGGGCTCTCCCTTTGACCCATATGGAAGTGCACAGAGACCTGAGAGGTGCGGTCTAGCTGTGTGCCCAGGTATTTGGAGGCTCCAGGGGTCCATTTGAGCACAGCGCAGGGTTACCTAGTTGTGGTATTGGCACCGTAAGGACACGGTGGAAACATTTGACCCCTGAGAGGGCCCTTCCTCTCCTGGGCCCTGGCCTCTTTGCAGGCATAGTATGAGGTGTGCCGCGGCTGCCACGATCCAAGCCCTGCCACGTGACACAGAGCCTATGCGCCCCCAGTGCGCGCAGTCACCTTTTAACCTTGACATTTAAAACTACCTTCACAGGCTCATGCCTGTAATCCTAGCACTCTGGGAAACTGAGGCAGGTGGATTGCTCAAGGTCAGGAGTTAGAAACCAGCCTGCACAAGAGCGAGAACCCGTCTCTACTATAAATAGAAAGAAATTAATTGGCCAACTAATATATATAGAAAAAATTAGCCGGGCATGGTGGTACATGCCTGTAGTCCCAGCTAATTGGGAAGCTGGGGCAATAGGATGGTTTGAGCCCAGGAGTTTGAGGTTGCTGTGAGCGAGGCTGACACCACAGCACTCACTCTAGCCTGGGCAACAAAGTGAGACTCTGTTTCAAAAAAAAAAAAAAAAACTACCTTGGGGGGAGGATCAAGATGGTGGACGAGAAACACTGCCAGACACAGTGTCTCTGCAAAAAGACAGATTCTAGCAGAAATTAGAAAAAAGAAGCAAGAAGATGAGCATACAGCCGACGAAGGGCGGAAGGAGGGGTACCTGAGAACCCAAGAGACTCCACAGGAGGAGGCTGCAGAAGAGAACTGGAAGCTGAGACCACCAGAGCAGCCCGGAGACCAGCAGGAAGGGTAGGTGGATTTGCCGTTTCCCCTCCCCTGCATTTGGGACTGCTGGTGGGCTC